CCAGTTTCTCCAAGTGTATCCCATTTTTCCAAGGGTGTCGCACTTGTCGAAATGTGACCCATATTTCCAAGTGTGACCCACTTTTCGAAAAGTGACTTCTTTCCAAGTGTGATCAGTTTTTCCAAGCGTGACCCATTTTTCCAAATGATACCTATTTTTCCAATTGTCACCCATGTTTTTCATCTGTAACCCATGTTTCCGAGTGTGACCCATTTTTCCAAGTTTGACCCATTTTTTCAAATATGACCCATTTTTCTAGGTGTGACCCATTTTTTTAAGCGTGACCCACTCTTCTAAGTGTAACACATTTTCCCAAGTGTGGCTTAATTTTCCAAATGTGATCCCTTTTACCAACTGTCAGTCATTTTAAAATTGTAACCCATTTTTCCAAATGTGTCCCATTTTTTAGAGCATGACCCATTTTTCCAAATGAGACCCATTTTTCTCAATGAGACCCATTTTTTCAAATGTGGCCCATTTTTTCAAATGAGACCCATTTTTCTAAATGAGACCCATTTTTTCAAATGTGGCCCATTTTTTCAAAGAGGCTAGACCCATTTTTTAGACCATGACCCATTTTTCTAAGTGAGACCCATTTTTCCAAATGAGACCCATTTTTTCAAATGTGGCCCATTTTTTCAAGTGTGTGAACTACCTTTCTGAGTGCGACCCAAGTTTGACCTTTTCTCCAAAGTTTCACCCATTTTTCCAAGAGTGACCCATTTGTACAAGTGTGACCGTTTCTTCCAAGTGTGACCCATTTTTCCAAATGTGTCCCATTTTTTAGAGTATGACCCATTTTTTTAAGGGTGAGCCATTTTTTCAAATGTGGCCCATTTTTCCAAGTGTGACCCAGCTTTCTGAATGCGACCCATTTTTCCAAGTGTGATCCATTTTTTAAGTGTGACCTTTTCTTCAAAGTTTCACCCATTTTTGCAAGAATAACCCATTTCTACAAGTGTGACCGTTTCTTCCAAGTGTGACCCATTTTTCCAAGTGTTACCAGTTTTTCCAAGTTTTTATACCCTTATAAAATATGTGACTATTATCTTTATTGTGTATTGCAGGTGAAGCAAGTTGTACTATTGTGCATATTCAAATAACCCAGATGAACACTGTGGTAACAACTACAGTATACTATAATACGCAAGTGACAGTAAGCAAATGTTAATATTAACAACACCATTACTGATGATATACGTGTTTATCAGCTGCCAAAATAATAGCAAAAGACTTCATAGAAACTGGCTTTAACAGCACAAGTCACCCTTAAGACTTCATGGAATCAATCTGAGAATTACAGATGGATGTGGAATACTCCTACTTATGAAGAGAATAAGATGCTTTCAACACTTGCAAGGCGTCGCACTAGTCTGCTGAAGAGATAGGTAAACGACAATAGAAACAAATCGTTTGGGATAAATGGCCACAAATGTGACGATTTTAATTGAAAATAAGGTTACAAACAAAGATTAAAATCTCTTCAGGAAAGAAGGGGTTAAAACTTTCGCCACCGGTAAAAAACTTAGTAAAATACTACATAAGATATGTTGACAGTCTGCGGGTCAGTGACCGGGGAGGTGGAGGGAAAAAGAACAAATACATCTGAACGCTAAAAAGCAGGAAAGTTCTTCTTGCGATAATGGTAATAGTAGAAACGGGCTGCGTGTACGAGATAACCAACATTTTGTACTTGACTTTGACACGCACCCATTTTTCATTGGACAGGAGACTTCCATTGTTACCAGATTAGAGCACAACCAGCAAACTGATAAGAAATAGGAAATGCCTCGCGATAAAATAACATTATGCTTTCGGTTATCTACATAATGTTTGTCTATTTCGGAAACTTTGCAAAAAGCTTAGGGCAATCATTTTCCGGTGCCGGTGTCTATCGATCGTTAGACAGCTATTGTGGAGCTAATTGGATTGCACCTTTACTTGTGGTCAGTCAGTCGGTTATGCCTCAGGGTTATGCCTATCATTTAGTTACGCTGCTACTATAACAATTTATTTGTGTGACTTGCATTGCAGATATTTACTGGTTTAATTTCTGCCCTACATCCTGTTCTGTTTCCATTCCGATACTACAATCAAAGCGCCCTGTGAGCAAACCTGTGAATTTCCCATATTTAATATTTATTTATATCTTGTTTGTGTAATTATTTACTTATTTTTTATTTATTTGTGTGCTTATTTATTTATTTATTTATTTATTTGTCTAAACTCTCTCTTAGTCTTTTTCTCATCTTGTTTCTGTAAACAAAATGGAAGTCTGGTCGGTCTAAAACAACTGGTTCTTACTGGTTTGGAATTTGCAAAAACTGGCCTGAGAAAAATTTAACCCCCCTGGTAATGTTGTACCATACTCACTAACCGTTAAGCTCACTAAGAAATATTCCAAAACGTCTCGAGAATCTTTAAGCGGGTGGTGGCTATCAGCGACTTTCAGAATTTTTAGTTTATCAACAGTTTTGCGTCTGTCTACTAGCCTTTTATACGTTTTTTTCTTTTTTGTAAAGATTAAGAGGGGATGGGTTTCACCCAATCTATTCAGGAACCACCCCTCCCTCATTAACTACTTGAATTGCACTCGCTTCTCTCGAAAATCAGGATGAAAGACTGGGCGAGGGTATAAGACGAGAAGAGACTGAGACGAGACAAACACGAAACAGAGGTGTGGCACTACTCTCCTCAACCCCTTTTCGTGCATACCATATACTGTATGTCCAAATTGTATGTCCATACCTCTTTTATTGCGTTTGTGTTCTCGGGCAGGAAACATTCGTCGGAGCCTGGAGAAAAGACCGTCAATAAAGCAGGCTACTTTTTTTTCTCATTTCACCCATTCTCTCCACTTCCACCCCCCTCCCCCCTCCACTATAACAAGAAGTCTGAAGATAGTGGAACTTAATTTCTTAATTTTTGACTTCAATTTATTTCCCAAGATTTTTTTAAGGCACAGCCACTATTTTGCTACATTGATTGATAAGATATCACGGAAACATATGGCCGTTAACAAAAGTGAAGCCAAGGCAGATCTACGAAATTAGCAATCGCAACTGGTTTTCTACCATATTTCTTTCGGTTTTTAGCCCATGCTGATTTAAAAGCATTCTCATTTATCACGCGAGACGATCAAGCACACTCGTAAAGCCATTGAAACAATGAATTCAAACAAAGCTTGTTTAACTTAACAAAACTAGGACTCTCAAAACATCTTTAACCTCCTTCAATAACCGGAAATCGTAATGCGAGGGGGAAATTTCATAAATTGTAAGAATCAGCGGAGGAATATTTTGAATGACAGAAGTGGGTTGCTCGCTCCGTTAAGTTATTGCTTTCTGTCGCTCAGTTGGAAAACGATCGCTGTTCAGATCAAAGGAAGAATACAGTTGTTTTAATTTGTTTTAGTGTGGCTGTGTCATTTACGTTTCCGTTCCATTAAAATAGTGTTTTTTTTTTACTTGTTGAAAGAACTGCAACAAATTACACGCCTCGAGGTTTTGGCGAAAATAATTTTCAAGAAGTTGATTTGAAATGAAAGGAGTCGGGTTTAATTAAGTGACTTCAAAGTAAAATATGCTTACAGCTTGTTTGTGGAGCTTCAAAGATTTGACAACGGAAGTTGTCTATTATTGACATTCCCGTATGAGACGAGAGGATTAATCTACATGCAATAACATACTTATCTACTTTCGAGACACCAAATATAATTTAGATCGATTTGGTGTAGTATTACCCATAGCGACGTGCGCCATTATCGCTTGCAGACTCCACGACTAGAGAAAAAAAGATAAGCAATTATTCCTCTTAATCGTGCCTTTAAGGGCCATATCAAAAATTGGTTTTTAAAAAAAACTGATAACAAGGACAAAAGCAAGTTTCAAAATGAACCGTAGGATGTGATTCAGTGGGCTGCTTCATTTGCGAGATGAACTTTCACGCCGTTAAACCCCTGATATAGAAATATTAGTTCTCCTTACAAATTCTCATATGCTGACTTAATAACAGTTATGAGAATTCACTTCAACATCTTTTGATTACCAGCTACGAAATTCGAAACAGATTGGCAACACATTTGTGGTTGTTTTTTTAATGTTAAAAACAGTGTTTTACTATTTTGATATGTCTTTTTCCTTTGATGTTATCTCCAGCGGAGTATCTAAACCCTTTTGTACAAAACTACTGAATACAAACAATACAAACTGAAGATTAACAGCAAGGAAATTAATGTTAGGTCACGTTTACCAGTTAATGACAAATTGATGCACCAGCTAGTGATGTGTGTAAAATTTGCTTTCCTTGTTAACTAAGCATAAACTAATACTGGATTAAATTTTAGTTTAATCCATCTTAAAATCGTGCTTTATTCGTCACCAACACCCCTCAAAAATCCAGGCAAAATAAATGCCAATAATATTATTTTAAAAACTTCCTAAGATACTCTTCAGAATGGGCTGTCTTCCGATTTCTGTTATCGTCTTATTTTATTTCGTCTTCTTTTGTTTGCACTTTTTAATGGACTTTCGTTTACTACAGGCAAAATATCTTGAAAAATGGGAGACACACTCATACGGTCCAATTCATCGCGACTATTTGACACTGAAAAATTTCTCTCGTGTGCGGCGAAGCCGTCCTTGGATCACAACTGACAGCAGCAATGTCTTTAAGCTTCTTTTCGTGTTAAACCGCAGAAAAAACAAAATGCAACACAGTCAATTTTTTATTTGTAAGTTCAACGTGTACCTTAGACACTGGTCATAAACGCTTAGACAACTTCCGAAGGGGCTTTGGGTTGGTTTACCCCTGGGGGAGTTGATACACGGCAAGCTCTGACAAGCGGAGTAAAAGCCGTTTGGAAATAAGCAGAAAGAAGTGAATTCACACAAAGTTGGAAGATAATTACACTGAGAAACATTGGCCTTTTTCTAGATCTTATTTTAAGATCAGATGGGAATGTACTGTACGTAAGAAAGGTTTATGACTAAACTTCTTCTTTTGCAACCTCCCTATATATAACAATTATTCACTGGTCATAGTTTGGTATGTAATATTTTCATCTCAGTCAGTGGTCAGTTGATGAGAAAAGGTGGGTTATTATGGCTTATACCGGGGGGAGATAAGCAACTGATCCGTTTCCTAGGGACGTTTTAAACAGGGAAGAAGGAAGAGATGATGGGAGTGTCTTTCATATAGGTTGCAGTTACTCTATTAAAACTATCCTCGAGTTGTTTTAATTTATTTAGTTATCAAATGTCTTCTCATCCAAGGTAGCTTCCTGTAGTTTTTCTGTCACATCCATGTTGTAAATAAATGTACAACCTCTTATCAGTATCGTTCTCGTCTTTGTTTAAAATAAGAAACAAGTTTCACCAATAAAATCAGCAATGATTAAATTGCGAGTCATGTCAAGATAAGTAATTTTTCAGACAGTTATCCCGTAACTTTAAAACCCTACCATCAAGTATATACCAGTATTGTAATACTACCATCAAGTATATACCAGTATTATGGCACGTATCAACAAGTATAAACTGGAAATTTTGTTTGCATAAATTCAATTTCAACCGACTAAATATTCTGTTCTTTCAAAAAATGAGGCAAACTAAAATTAAGATCAATATAAATTTATTTACATTTATGAGCTGTATTTATTTTATTTTGTCCTAAAAACCTGATACAGGTCTATACAACCTCCGATATGTAAGCACTATTCGTTGAATTACAAATACAGAAAATACTAAATTTTATTAACATTTTCCGATACGCGGATGAAATATTGTTCATTACTAACTTCGACTTGTTCAACGCCCAGATTTCGGTGCCACACTTAATTTATGATTGCCAATAAACTACAAGGCAGAATGTTACTCAAATTGTGATGTCTGATTTTTAACCTCGTTTTTCTATCTCGACTATCTAAACAAGAATTTCCCAACAATTGCAGCAAGCCTTTCATTTCCTGCTAAGAATCTGCACAATGTTCATCTGATGTTCTTTTGCACGAAGACGAAGCGAAGCAATGCTAGACACCCGAGTTGTCTCCCTTGCTATTCCACCCGAATGTTCCGGTAGGACATCCAATCCCCGGCCCCCTTCTTCAAGTCGGAAAGGAGGCGCTATAAAGCACGTGCCCCCTGTCGGAGGTAACATGCTACAGGAACAAGGACATTCTCGGGGGTCGGGACATGGGGGGCGTATTACACCCGGAACTGCAGGGCGATAGCACTGTAAGGGGTGTGGAGACGCCTGATAAAATGAAGAGCAAATGTCCCTGGTACTTCCATGTCCTAGACCCGAGGGAAATGTTACCGGATACGGACTGCTTGGGGAAAACGGCTCCTGGTGCAACCACGGGTAGACCATGCCATGCCCGGGGGGAACGGCTCCAAATGCACACAGCTTTTCACGCTTCCGCCATTTCGCTCGTCTGTTCTGAAACCAGACCTGGTAAAAGGGAGGAAATGGATTTTAAAAAGCGTTTAAACTCTCTCTCCTTTTTTCCATTCTTGCTTGAACATACATTTTAACAACACCTCATTTCATTCATCACATTTCCTTTTGACAAATAAACGTTCAAGATGTTAAATATCGAAATAATGCATTCCTAATCATGAAAATAACATGCATTTTGAATTGAATATACTTTACAGCCAGACTTCACGACTCAGCTCAGTTTCGTATTTCCGACATTTCTTTAAAATCTACCGACACCAAAATCAATATAAACTTAATTATCCCAATGGAAAACATACGTGTTAAATAAACTAGTTAAAGCCGCGCAAACTGTCTTTGCATGTCTTGATGTCCCAGCAACGACAATCCGTTTATTTTAACGGCTTGAGCTCTTGGAATTATCAGTTGTGGTTATTTCATAAAAGCAAATTTAAAATAATAAAAAAGCACTTCTAAATGGAAAACGATGAAAACACTTTCGACAGGTAGGGGGCGCTTTGTTCATGCAATGTTCTTACTCCAGAAAAAAGGGCAATAATGATAAAGCTGCGAAACTGTTTAAAACCTACCAAACATAATCAAGGGAGGCAATAAGCATGACTTAGTCTGACAATTGGGCAATTTAGCTTAAACTTACAAAGCTTATTAACACGACTGAATTCACACAAAGATGGCATTAAAAAGCTGATAAATATCGCCAGTTACAAATAAAGAAAACCAATAAAATGTGACAAAGTTGTGAACCTGTACTATTTTTTTCTGAAGAAAGGCTTTGTAACTTTCAACTCTTAAACCCAACAGTTAAGCTTAACTGAGCGAGCCTAAAATTGAGAAAAACTCATTTAGCCACATTTATTGCTTTTAAATTGCGATTTTAAACTTGCGCTTTAAGCCAATGCGCAAAAAGTGCCATGTGCTGTGTTGCACATTTGTGTTTACCTGAATTCTTGCTTCTGTTAAGCCAAGTTTTGAAGCCAATTCTTCCCGTGCGAATACGTCAGGATATGGCGCCTTATCGAACGCTCTTTCGAGTTCTTCAAGTTGATATTGGCTGAACGTTGTTCGATAGCGAGTCTTTTTCTTTTTCGCCGCGGCTGAAGCATCTTCAGTAGGAGAGTTGACTTGTTCGTCTCCATCTCCGGTGATCTGTTCACTTGCCTCGTCTTGAACGTTACTCTCTGCTGTTACTTGTAAAGAACAACAAAAATTGCATCAGACGGAACAAAAATTAAAACTACTGTAAAGAGAGCAGTTTTTGTTCTTCTAATGGAAATTTCGGAATTACCTCAAAGCAGCTAAATCATTCTTTAACGTTTTCGTTACTTACCTATTGTCCTAATATTATGACTCAATCTCGTTTGTATCTCGCAGAGAAATTTCTAAGTGTTGTAGCAAGGAAAATATATCCGTGCTTTTACTAAATCTGTTAAGCTGACCTCACGTTAGAACAACTTTACACCTTCCTAAATCCAAACTATTTGCGAGATAACAACTTGAAAAGCATAGCAGTGAAGTTCAACTGCCTCTGTAGAGTAAAGTTAAACTACTATTATAACAAGCCCCTAGTTAACGAGCTTAATAAACACGCGAGTAAAAAACTAACCGGAATTTAAATTCATCCTCGGCCACCGTGAATTCTTCACAGTTCCAAACCACTTTTCTCGATCGGAGCCGATTAACTGCCTCAAACAGATGGAGAAAATAGTTCTTATAGGTTTAGCAGGCAGGCTGTCTGTTGGCGTGATGGACAAAACTTATAAAGTTTCAAGGGCTTTATTTCAATATTAGCGTGTTGCCCAATGAAACTGCTTGTTTCGGCTCAATAGAAATATACTTTAATTTTGCATACTCCTGGTTCTTTCTTTGCCATATTGTCGACGCGATTGCGTTTGTGTCGCGCTTTTGTTTCAGACTGAAGAAAACAACTGCAAAAAGGTGCAATTTATTAAACATTTGTTTTGTTTGCTCGGAACGCCAATACCCAGTGGGCAGGCCCCAAAGTCATTTTATTTCAGTTCGTTAAGGTTCACGCGAATTGCGAAGCGGCGCGCTCGAAAATAGTCCCATTGAGATCTTATTCAAATAGCTCGACTTTTGTATAGCAACAGAAAGTAATAAGTATTCTTTCATACAAATTGATGTAAATTGAATTGAATATCAGCAGTTATTAGGGTCAAGATGGAGACAGCTGGTGTAAAAAACTGGAAGTGAGTGATAAAGTTTGGAGCCAGAAGTAAACTCAGTTTGCGAAATACCACGCTAAGTTTGCCTGCGTCATGTTCTAGTTTCGCCACCTTTTTTATCCCATATCTCTTTTTTCGCAGGGATCCCATATCGTGTAAATTCCGACCTAACTTTTTAACTCTTTACGTTTTGGTCCCCACTCAGCCAAGACAAAATTGTCTTAAGTCGATGGAAAAGAATAAATTACCAAAATGTTAATATACGATTTCTCGCATCGTCTCATTTCAATTTTACGAAAGAAAGAATCGACCGTGAACAAACTAAAATCAAACTTGTGTTTTTGTGTCCACCACAAATGCAGAAAACTTTCAATAAAATCGCATCTCTAGAAAATAAAATAACTACAAACTCGATTAAAAACGGTTCGCCAAGCGAGCCACTCAAATTCAACCGATGGCCAAATTTGTTCTCTATCCGTAAACTACTATCATTAATGCTTTTAGACAAAACTGATCTACATGTGCCAAAACCTTACTATATTTCGTGTCAAAAACTCGACGAAGCAATAATAAAATTGTGACAGTCTATAAAATGACAAGCCGCTTGGCAAATTTGAGCAGGATGGTTTTTTAAAATGCGCATGAATTTCAACCAATGACTATAGTTTTCTTCCTGTTTGTGTTGGTAACTCTGCCGTGAATTTTCCCGCTAAATTTGTTCTGTCATCGAGGCCAAATATAAAGAATTAACAATGACACGTTCGCTCTAAATTTGTCGAGTCGAGGAGATTATCTCCTGATCTCTGAGTGCTTCTTGTGTAGAGAGAAAGTGCAGCTCTTAACACGAGAAAACGCGAACACCAGTTTAGTATAATTCACGCTCAGTTGTACATAATTAAGAGGAGAGAAGAAGTACGGAAGGCGAATAAAATTAAAATAGTTGCGATTTTTGCTACGAATCAATGACATCGATGAGTTAAGTTTGCAGTTGAAATTATCATTCTAGCGTAAGCGTTGATTCAATTCTGCAATTTTCTTGAACAAAAAAGAGCAACCTGTCTTGCCATCGGCAATATATGTATGCAGTTGCTCTAACAGGTTGGCAGTCACCACTAAAACGTTTGTAATTACCTTCGGCTGCTTCTGCTTCCTTTGCATTTTTACTGCTGAGATCCTTGACCGAAACAGGCTCGCTAGTAAGGCCTAAGATTCCGTTTATGCTATAGGAGACAACACCATGCCTTTCTTTGGAGGGGAAGCTGTCGGTGTTTGGGATTTCCATTTCGCTTGGCGTCAAGTATTCTGTCAGCAGCTTGTCCAACGAATACTTCGCATCACAGAAAGCGCTTCGCTTTTTCGTTCATAATGATGCCGGGAGTTCAGTTAGTCGTGCATGAATAGTAGGCCCGCAGGGGGAATTATAACCCTCACACGGTGGCCGACTGGCTAAATTAAATTGCTATTATTAGCAAAGGGATTCTTGCTCGGCGGTTTTCTTTTGGGTGAAATTTCCCTTTTCACAACCAATCAACGCATTTATCCACGAACACGGTTATTGGCAAAACATTCATTCAAGTAAAATACAATTAGAATTTATTAACATTAATCCCTATCTAGATTAACATAACAATCCTATAGAACTCCAATAAAGACCTAATTATATCAACATTAAACTCCCTTTATGAGATACGAGAAGCGCAATATGTGACAAACACTGCTCCAGGCGGAATATTCTGTTTTGCCTTTCTTTCGTAACTTGGCCATCGTTTAGCAATTGAAAAACTTCTTCGAAACGGCCGCTTTATTTCCAAAAAGAAACTTTCAGCTGCGTTTCGCGGCCATACGCCGGCTTACTAAGCAAACAATTTGGGGAAAGGGAGAATTCGAAATAATGAAATTTACACATTTTTGATGAGAAGTAATTGGTCGTAATTGCCGCCATCTTGCGAGTGTCGGGCGAAAAAATCATTTTAATTAACACTGCCTTTCTTCGCCTGTCAGCCACATCAACAAATATTTTCGAAGTTATCAAGCTTTTAGAGTACATCTAAATAACTGGTCGAGTTATCATTTGAGATTTAAGCGTATTACCGCAAATTGCGCTGCCTTATCAACACACGGCATCACAAAGTTTACACCATTCATATGAACACTTGAAAATGTTTCAAAACGACGGAAACTTCCGAAACACGAGAACGGGCTCCGAGCGTCCCAGGACCAGTAGAAATCGAAGTTTTCTGGTATCGGACCGCAAGAGAATCAATTAAAAACCGCGAATATTTTTGCTAAGTTTTCGTGGCAAATATTTTCGACCCGTGCACAAATTAAGCGATCATGCTATTTCAATTTGCAAGATTTAATTGGAAACAATCAAATATCACTTTTTAGTTTTCCCAGCACTGCGGATGTTGAAAAATTCGCCTCGATTATTTCATTACCGTCCCAGAGAATGGCATCAGAGGCGAAAGTGAAATATTCATTTACTTAAAGTCGAAGAAATGAAACTTTTAACGAAGATACTACTCTTAAGCACTTGCCTTTGCAAAAAAAGGAAATTAAACCAGGGTAGCTTAACATAGATTAATACAATTAATGCTGTTTATCTCGCTCGTCGGGCCGACTTCGTTAGCTCGCGAAAAAACTGTCAGTTTTCAGGAAATTAAAGGAACATGCATCAACGGAAATTCGTTTGGGATTAATAGCCTCAAATTGAATGGTTCTGGCGGGCGTTGAAGTGGAATCTTCGAAACAGGAGAGTTGAGTCTTCAAGTGAAGTATTTGCGTGTTTTGCGACGGCTTTGTAAGGGTTATTACGCCGGCAACTTCGCAAAGGTTTAGAGTGTGTTGTCGAGTTCTTCACCGACCTGTCAAAATCTATTGATATGTAATTAACCTCTTAATTAATATCATCTCCTAATTAGAAATGATTAGAAGAGGCGAGAAGCCGCTCGCGTTAATAAGATGTTCGTTTGAGCAATCGCAGGAAATTATAAACAAACAAAAAAATTCGAGGCAACAACACCGCAAGATTCGCTTGGAATTTGAGTAGCGCGCGACCCAGCCTCATGAAGCAAACAAACTCGAGATTATTTGCCGACGATATCTTGAGGTATTTCCGAAGTTAAACTCGCTGACTTCTGTGCGTTTGAAGTGGACACTTATTATTTCATGGACTAATTACTGTTGGCACTAATTAGTCTGTCTAAAGTGCGACAAATTAATTGTTTCAATTGAAAATCTTTTATCCGACTAATTCCACTTCAAGCGTGGCCGCTTGCCTAAGGTTATAACAAAGTGTGTTTTTAATAACTTACACCGTTGGAAAAACTGAGCGGTCAAAACTGCCTCATAAACTAGGAATTGTTTGTTGTCATGCGTGATCGTATTTTCGACTATCTTGTTATGTTTTCTGATACATATTTCGTTTTCGCATCGCGCGTTTCATACACAAAATATCGTAGTTATATTTTGTCACATCAATAAAAATTGTGTACTTTATAGCTGTCTTGCACCGTGTTTTCCCAACTTCGGTCCACTCAGTAATTTGGTATGCAGGCGCGAAATTATATGCTAATTAAAATGCGCTTCCTTCAATATAATGATTGCTTTGACCCTGGCCTAAAAAACAACGAAAAGCTCAAGGGTTTTTGGAACAGAAAAGCAATTAAATACTGTGACCTTGTTTGAATTAATGAGTCGCTGGAATGGAATGTGACATGAAAGGTAATCGATCTTAAAAGCCGATTCATCTTATCTCTTTGGAATGTTTTGAAAGGCAGCAAATTTAATTCGCTGACCTTTCCTGAGATCAGCAAATAATTGCACGCACGTAGAGTGAATTTTTCGCTATTTTTTTTTAGCCCTCAGTAAAGCACTTCTATTATGGAATCCGTCTCTAAAATGTGTATGTTTAATAGCTTGTTATTATTATGTTGTATTATATCTCGGACAGAATGCGTGCTGTGATTGGTTAATTTTACGGGCCATATTCTTTCGAGTACAGTCCGCTTGTCACTCTCTGGAGTTGATATAATAAAAAATTATTTACCTTTTTTCTGGGTTTGCATGTAAGATATACATCATTTTTTAAACTTGTTTTTGTATTGTTTTGTTTTGTTTTTTTTCCATCAGTTTATTATCGTTTGAGGCCCGCGCGCTCGACCATTGAGCTTTTCCATTGTTAGCGGAGCCACTCCTACGCAAGCGCAGAACTTTGCTTGCAAATGGCCGCCGAAGCTGAACAGCTTTAATACCAATACAGCAAGCTTCTTACCCCAGTTTCAACGACCTTCTTTATCAGTTCCGAATCAAAACAACCGGGTTTTTTTCGAAAACAAAAGGCAGTTACTTCCCGTGTTTCGAAAATGACATTTCTCTAAAGAAGAATCCGTTGCGTGGGCCAGAAGTTTTGTTGGCCTGAGGTAATCTGGGGATGTTTTTTTTCTCGGAAAGGCAGGTCGCTTGCATTTGGATGATATCTTTTCTCTAAAATCTTTCAAGGGCAAAAGATGGAAAACAAAAATACCCCCCCCCCTCTCCCTTCGTCAACCCGGGCCCCGTGGGCGTCAAAAGAAATAAGAATCGTCGTAACATATAAGTGTGAGCTACAAAACGAGCTAAACAAGAGAAAATGAATCTCGCAATTCCCTGGATATCTTGCAAAATGAAGATGATTAATATTATTCGAGAGTTAAAAAAAAAAAACATTTTCTGTATAAGTTTTTTTTGTTGTTGCTTTTTTGTTTTCTTTTTTTCAGGTGAAGTGAAAGTTTGACAGGGCAGCAAAACTGCTGGAAGACGAACCGCCGCCTAGTGTTTTCACGGCATTTTCGAGTCAGTCAAAGTAAATATTCCGCAGCTAACCGGAATCAACGTTTATTAGCTAGAAATGTGTTAGCTTAATGACGTTTTGCTTAGTTTTTGTTATTTCAAAAGCTTTGCGAAATGAACAAAATTTTCAAAATGAACAAACTTAGAACTATGAGCAAAAGTGCCCGTGAAACTCCGGAATTAATTTTCACACATTCATCAAACAGGCGTTGGTTATTTGCATTTTAACTTTTGTGATCGATGTTTTACAAAGTAAATTTGCCGAATGCCCCACCAAAATTAAGCTATTTAAGTTTGGACAGTTTTTCACAGGTTAAAACACCAAGTATTGCACGTAGAATTTGATTTCTCAAACGAAACTAAACTAAACAAGCTATCACTTTATTTATAATTAGCCGTTTCCCTGTCAATGAAAAATATAGCCTTTTTATCGACACAAAAATGTTAACAAAGTTTTTTATCCCCTACAGAGAGATTATTTCAGCTATCACGCACTGAACTTGGCAAAGTTTAACAAACCTTGCTTTGAATTTCAACATTTTCATTTTGTAAAATCTCACGCTGGGCATTTGTTGTGTAAGTTGAACAGAAATGATAGCCATATTGCTCGAAATCGCGCCTTTCTCGAATAGGAAATAATATAACGCCAAGAAATTGAGTTTGTAAACCAAAGCTTCTTGGCTAGTTCCGTCGCAGTTTTACTTCTTTTAAACCCGACATTTGATTGAAATGTCGAAGTCCGAAATAATGAAATCGAATTTTGTGACCACGTTGTCCAAAAATGTTTTTTTTTTTTTCGTTTTCTGCAATGAATAGCTTTGTTTTCACATTGCCTAAGGCAAGAAATAAGATTGATAATTTTAAACAAATTAAGTCATAGTAAGTAAACACTGCTGAGAAAGCCATTAATGGTTTTACAGAATATTGAATATCTTATCTTCGTATTATAAAAACGTTTCAAAATTACAGTATTATCTGTAGATATCACTACGGAATGTTTTGAAACAAAAGAGAAGTAATAAAAAAATATTTTAAACAAGACATTTGAAGAAATATCCTATTAAAGAAGCCATGTTTCTTTCACCTCTGATATTGCCAATATTTTAAACAAAATAAAAAAAGTAAACTATATCAACAGAACTGCCCCATCTATTGAAAGCTTTCTAAACTGCATGTTCTGTGTTAAGATATAATTATTTCTTTTCAGCGACGGTTTACCTACCACACAAAGCATTTTAGCATGTTTATAACTGTCGAAAAAACTGTGGTTGTTTCGCGAAACAAATATTCGACGGGACAAACGTTTTAGCCATTTAAGCGTTTTTATTAAAAAGCCATTAGAGCTGGCAAAATATTCTGTTTCCTTATCAAAACAAAAAACACCATATTGTCAAATAATTAAACTTGGCTTTATAATAAAACAACCTTGCGCTGCATTTATCGCCCCTGTAAGGAACAAAGAAAACAGTTTCATTCGTCGCTTCGCAAGCAACAGTCCTCTAAATTTCTTCAAGTAATGAAGTTCGTCATTTGGGTTGAAATGAAAGCCATTCAATGCAAATTTGCTTTAACGGCGAGATTGCATTAATTTTTGAACCTAATCTACAAGAAGCCAGTGTTAATTGCGTGAATTAAAGGCAAAATGTGGCAACATCTGGGTAATGTTTCGAATTAGAAAAGGAAGTTATTTCATTTCTAAAATAGCCTTTTATCACCGAGACAAAACACAACACTCTTGTCAATAGAAAGAGTCACAAATCTTTATCTGTTTGTATGGTGTTGTCGTACTGATAAAACTAAGTATTTATCTCCCGTAGACTGGATGACTATGGAGGGAGGAGATAACGCCAAATAGATCTTTATTTATCCTTATTGTGCATGTCAGTTTGGTTTTATTAACAGACGGTTCGCGCCAGCAAAAAATCTTTCAAACACACAGCTATTCTTCGCTAACACAAAGTAATGTTTTGAGCAAACAATATTTTCTGGCTTTTCATCCAAGTTCAAACTAGCGATATTTACCATTAGAGAGACCAAACAGAGAAACCCGAAAAATTATCTGTTGATGTTTCTATTACAGGCGTCGCCAATTACGCATTTATCTTCAATTTTTCTTCTTTTATATTATTCCGCGCACGGGAAAATAAAAACACGATTTCCGGAAATACCGAAGAAAAACGTGCAAGAACACAAGGACGAGTTGAACCGGTGAAACAACAAAATATCAAGATTCACTTTAGATGAAGTGCATAGGTTCAGTTTTGGAAATATATATTTTAACTTGTTCCTCAAACAGCTTCGTGACAATGTCATGACTGTTTAAGAGACAACGGTATAAATTTAAACAGCCTCCCACAATGTCTCTGTTTTAATTTAAATAATACAGTTCACGTCTAGCTAGTCCTCTCACAGGCAATATTGGGACAACTTTTAACTGACTTACTTTATATTAAAAGCGACAAAAATAGACAAGGAATTGCCAATAACTTACGTACCTTTCTCGTGCCCTAAAATGCACTTTCTGAATTAGATTTTGTTTCTCAATTGTCATCTTGAAAAACTGTAAAGCTGCTGTCTTTTTTAAAGCTTTTTGTTCCTATCCGTCGAATAACTTTTAATTATTTTAACTTGAATTCATGCATAGGACACCTAACCGACAAGTTTGAATTAAAAATCATCAATTGAATTTTCAATATCAATTGAAAATCATCACTTTTGCAGTAGAGTGTTGAGTGTACATGACGTCACGGCGTCCCAAAACAAAGAAAGCGCGGCCATGTTGATTTCAAAAGGCCTCGTCTACACCACGCCAGAGAAATTTGAAAATGCAGCCTTATTTCGACGGTTAGGCTTACCGTGCACCCTAATCCGTCACGAAAACGGAGCTTTTAGAAAACGCTCTTCAAACCGGAGGAAATTTGAAAGCGCCGGCTTTGCGTTTTAGTGTCGACGGAAAGCACTTTTAAAACCGAGCTTTTCTAAAAAGTTAATTTAATCATGTAATTTCCTTGCTCGCGTTTTCCTCAAAAACAAATCCAAAATGAGCGGTGATCGTTACGTTTTTAAATTCATCGGGCGTTGTGTGAACAAGGCCCAATCCTGTGGAAGTTGAACTCTTTTCTTATGCAAACACTTTCTATTTTTCCGATAAACGTGTATGGCTACTGGCCACGTGAGTGAAAGCGTTCTAATACTGGCTATATCTGTCTTCATGAAACCAATAGCTCTATATTTGGTAATCGCATGGCCGTCCGATTTCATTAGGCCATGTCTGAACTCAAAACTCAACTTTTGACTTAAATAAATTCACGAATTTGATCTTGTCGTCCACTTTCCCACTGGTTAGGAAACCTAGCTAGCATTCAAAGCGGTTCTTAGTAAAAGATCTCCTTGCTTTTGGAGACAAGCCTAGTTCGATTCATAAAGTTTTCCTCAATATATTCAAATTAGCAAAGTGCGAGTTTTCAGCGTACAAGGCTGTATGATATTGTTTCAAATTAGGTTTCCTCGAATATGATCGAAAACCTTGGATCGCTTAAGACGACCGGAGGGGGCCTGTGCACTAATAAAAATGGCCTTGGAGATGCGATATTTCATTGTCTGGATTCCCGGACAAAGAATTTCACTTTTTTAACGATTGTTGCCTTCCCGAAAATATCACTGGTTGATCTCCAACTCAAATATCCGGCTAAGTGGAGTGAGGAAAACTCAAACAATGGAATCTGGCCAATTGTCTAGGAGATAGGAAGATTAAAACTCAGAACATGATGAAAATAAGCAACTTCCACAATAAAACTTCTTCCATTTATTATAAATAAATACAAATTAAATAAATAAATAATTTTTGATTTCGCACAACTCTGTAGAAAATGTAGCAAAATATGTACAATAACTAATCACAATCTGTTAATGCTATAACTTAAAATATTTTCAACGTCTGGGAATTAAAGCATTTCAGGCAGGTACCCGGTTTGGAATAATAAAAATGATAATAATTACATTTTGTTAGTAACTAAACTGGTTTTCTTTACGGAAACTAACTCTAATATAGACATCATTATGTCCGTTAGGTATAGAAATGCAGAAGACATCCTTTTCTTGTTATTCATCCAATGGACCTTTCTTAAAAATACCATAAGATTTTTTCAAACTGCATGTTAAGACTCACATTCGGAATGCACGCTTTTGCCATGTCCTAGTCCTTAAGGCGAGCTGCACGTGCCATTCCACAACTTCTCAAAACTAAAATTTGCTTAATAAAACAGTACATTAAAGTAAAAAATCACAAGTGCACTTTTGTTTCCTTGGCTTGTAATTAGTCTTCAACCTTGTTTCCATAGGCCACAGTAGTAACATATAAAAACACTCCACACTTCAAACTCGATCCCAGGCTCTCTTTCCTCAACGAAAAAGGAGGCAAAGCAAAGAGAGAGGCTGGTATCGAGAGCCCAAGCTGAATGCCAGTACTTCCATTGTGCCACTAAACCAAAGAGATGATACGAATAACTAATACATGCCAGGCTACACGTGCATTTTAAAGAACATTATCGGTTTTCAGGAAAGGCTGTTTTCCACGTGTTTCGAAGTTAGAAGCTGAAAGAGCAATTCCTCGCCATCAAATTGAATCACTCCCTTAACGCACTTTCATACAGGACATCAAACTAGCGCCGTCTTTTTCCACACCCCTCCCCGACACTTTCTTCGTTTTGCTCTGGGTGGTAAAACATTTCCACAAGCGTAAGGTCTCGTCAGCGGCGGCCGACGCCACGTGTTGGCCATCAGGTGACATGGTCATGTGGAGAACGCGTGACGTATGCCCAGTCAGTTCCGTGACGCGTGACATGGCCGGGTATTTCCAAATGGAGAGCTGATGTTGGGAGAATCCATGACCTGATACTAATTCTTTGTATTCTTTAGACCAGAGCAGCCCACACACCTGAAAGAGAAAGTGACTTCACAGCTGATAGGTACTTATGGCGTGCAAATTCTTGGCAGTGTTCATAATTCAAAGGCAAATGCCCTATCCAGCTATGCAAATTGCCTCCACTGCTAAATTAGGCTTTTTACGTTGGTCATGCAATCTGTTCAGGAAAGATTGTGTGACAACCTCGAAGACCATCTGCGAGGGTCTAAGCTCTTAAAAGCCACACAACGGTTTGCGCATCTTAAAAAGGTTAGCCTAAATTTTTCAAGTTTGGCGATTGTAATCTTAGATTATGTTAATCCTCTCCATCCTTAACCATCCTTGTTCCTTTATGGATTAATTATGATCTTTTTGGTGTTTTTCTATCTAAGTAAACTACTAATTTCAGGTTTCCTTCAATTTAAAGGTAATTTTGTACATGGCCAAAATAACTTGGATCACGTGTACTAAAGGAATCCGCTTTTAAATCTTCAATACTGTAATTAATTTTAGACTCCTTTCCCATTTTGTTTATTCATTTTAATTGACATATTTTTATCTTTTTTATTCCTTTTGTAACTGAAAAGCCCCTTTGGGGAGTTGCAAATAAAGTATGTATGTATGTACGTATGTTTCGAGTTTCGATCAATATCCTAGATCGATACCCTTGATTGACCCTCGATCAACACTCCATCAACACCTTGGTTGACACTCCATTAACACTTCATCTCAGTCAAGAGTCAACTAATTTTCAATCAAAGCTAATGAGTTGGTACATTCGGCAGACCATTGACCAACTGTTGATCAAGTGTCGATCGAGTGTCACTGAGTATCGATTGGGACGTCGATCAAGTACCAATCAAGATGTTGATCAAGGCTATTGATTGAGGGTATCAATTGATGTTCGACAGTCAATCACAGATGCCGTTAGTACACATGATCCAATAACTTTAAATACTGTGACAAGTTAAGGGTTGTATGGCACTACACAACAGTAACAAAGACACATTAGCACACACCTGACTATTAGTGTCCACGCTGTTCAGGCAAGTTCCTGTATTTGCATTCCAAAATTTGATATGACGGTCGGCAGTACCACCACCACTGGCCAAGACATTTGGTTGCCATGGACACCACGCCACTGCCTAAGGAGCAGTAAATCAAAGTCAGCCACTTAGGGCAACATGATTTCAGTGCCATTAGAATTTTCTGGGGGGAGGGGTTGGTTATCAGCAAAAGCAAAGACTAGGCATTGTAGGGCAAATAAGGCAATTTGCAATTTGCAGTATGCTGTTCTTTGCAAAGTTATTGGAGGAGCAATTGTCCTAAATTGCAGTGTGTGTCCATGCCCATCCTGAAATTCCAAATATTGCACAATGTATGGATTCCTGGCTTATTTTAGTCTCTTATTTAAATGCTAATTTGACATTTTCAGATTGGAATGCTAACTTAGCATTTTGAAATGACAATCCAGGAACAATCTCTGGCAGCCAAACTGTCATAATAATATCATACCTCTGTATGTCTAAAAGAAATGATTATTTGTGGTTGCCATTGTTATGTTTTCTGCTATTGCTGATCAAAAAAAAGCTCACTGTAGAAGAACTGCCAACAGGTCTGCAAAACTGAGCTGCATGAACTCAACCTTGAACAGTGTCAGTAAGTGGTTACATGTATATCGTTTAAGTCTTCCAGCATACCTTTACTGCAGCCTGATGGTGCGTCAGGGTGTGAAGCGGACTAGCCACAGCCTCTGAGGTGCCACCCTGAGCCCAGATATTCAGTACATTATCATTGCCACCACTGGCTAGCAGTTTACCATCAGGAGACCACTCAAGACCGCATACCTCCTGGTTATGACCCAGGAGGGATCCAATGTGATGTGATGCCACTCGTACATCATGGTGGTGGATTGCACCACTCCGTGAACCACTGAGAGAAAGAAATTTTGGATTAATCTGTTTTTGGTATTTTTAATGTATACTTTTTTAAAATAATTTCTCCACTTGAAGATTGGAAACAGCAGGATTTAGTAAAAGGCAGTTAAAGGATAATGGAAGGGCAGGATACAGTAACCTAATTATACAAAATATGCCCTTAAAACAGAATGAAAAACTATTCAGCGACATCTTGTATAAAGTTATTTCTGCTCTCCAGGCAAAATGACACATACCTTGACAGGATGAAGGAGTTCCACGCAAGTGAGCCCACTCTAGCAGCGTGACCAGCCATCAGACGAACACACTTGGCTTGCGCGACATCCCATAACTAAGAACAAACAACCAAACATGTGTTTATTTATCTTTGGTTTACAACAAAGAGGCCAAAATTATTAAGTAAATATTAAATAGGAATACAAGACCATAGCTGGTACAGTTCCACTTAACTAGGTTAAAAAGGCACCAGACAAAACATGGATAGAGATAAAAATAAAGAAAAAATAATGTAAAAATTTGTACTTATTTTGGAAAATCTGTATCTTATTAAATGACTTAAATTATATACTACTAATAATAATATAATCATAGTACACATTAGATTCTAACTTCAGCTCTATCTCTTTTAAGGCCCGTCTTCCCATGGTAAGCTACCTCCATCTCTTGCTGTTAAAGATGAAATGAATTAAGCTCCCCCTCCTTCAGCCCTGATTATTCAGATTTACTAGTTGCATCCCTATATTTCAAATGCAAACAAAAACAAATTATTCCCGAAGATTTAATCCAATCTCATTTGACACAAGACATTTCATTTCTATTTTTAAAGCAGAAAAAAGATTTCAGCAAACTATTTCACCACATCTAAGTCCAGTTTAAAATAATAAATAAGAATTATTAATTTAAGACATGCATTGATGTTTCACCTACATGTATGTGTAGTTAAAATGGACCATTTTCCCTCACCTGGACCTGACCATTGTTATTGCCGACAGCCAGTATACTGCCCTGTCCAATCCAACTGACACTGGAGATGTAATTGTCACCCTCCATCTGGAACAAGTGTTGTGTCTCACCACTGGAAGGATTCCATATGTACACCGCCCCAGACAGAGCTAAGGCAAGCTGATTTATTGATCCCCAGTCCAACAAATTTAGATCTAAATTGCAGAAACAGTTTTGAAATCATACTATCTAGAGCAGAACTGGAATAGAATTCAGGAACCAAATTTAAGGTGGCTTACAACTTAGCACTTCCCAATGCCTTTCACTACTAGACACAATTTTAGTACCACCAAATTATGTATAAAAATGCAATAATAAATAAAGAACTACCAATGTACAAATTAAAATGCAAAAAATATTTTGGCATAAAAAATCATATTATTTAAGTCCTGTCGTAGAATATTCACTGTAGCATTTTCCTTCCAAAAACAACGGGAAACACTTGAGCATTAATCATAACTTTCAAGGCTATTCTAGGCTTTTAAGATATTCTAGCTAACCAGGGTTAAAGTCTTTCTTATTATAATTTTTTGTTTTTCGGTTTTTTGTTTGTTTGTTTGTTTGCTTCATTTTAGGGAGGTCCATTTTGTCAAACGCTAGTCCACTGCAAAAGTTCACAGATCTAGGACCAATAGTAACCCAAAATTAACTGGCAAATTGGAAAAGCAAGACAGTGATCATAGTGACTCACAGTAATCGTCCAGCAGATCTGGTGCATCAAGAATTCTGTCCTCAGCTTGTGGAATATGTCTTGTTGACTTTGCTTTAGGCGCCGATGGCTTGCTCTGACAGTACAGCACTCTTAGGTTGTTCTGATGCCCTAGGAGAATATTTTATATTATAAAGCTTACCAGCAATCGCACAGTACCTGTGACAGTTTGAGACAATGGGAACCATTGCCATTCATTTAGTTGCAAATACATTTCAGATTAGTGTATTGTAACTGAAAAGATACCTTCTTTGGTCACGGGAGCGCCAGACTTGAAGTGAAGAATCTTGCAGTTGTTGGAACTACTTCCCAGGTTCTCCGACATAGCTGACTGGAACTCGAGGTTACCCTCGACCTCAATGTCGCAACTCGCATCAACCGATTCATTTCCCTGCATGATCTGGAAATGGCTCCACTCGCAGTCCACAAGCGGTCTGCTAGGAATAAAGCGGTCTCCTTCGAGGAACTTCTTCGGGGTTTTCTGAGGAGTTTTCTTTGGAGACTTACATGGAGTCTTCGTCTTCTTGCCGGGTGTAAACGTCTGAGTTTTAGACGATACATTTCTGTTTACACGACTGCGGGAAGTTGTTTGAAGAGGCGATAAAGGTTTTCCAGATGAAGATAAATTCCTTTCTTTTTCTTTTCTTTGCCAGCGAGGAATGGGGCCTTTCGAAAGTGGTGCTTCGAGCTTCTTCAAGCAATCATTGACTCCATTTTCGAACTCGAATTGAGCCATATCTTCGCTAAATTCTAGATTTAAGAACATACAATGAATAAATCAGCAAAGAGCAAACACATTTGTAAGCTTCATCACAATTTAAAAGTTGACTTACCGATGTAAAATTTAAAACTTCGCGTAAATTCAATACACTCTAATTATTCGTCTGTCAGTTTGCAAATCAATGAACTTCAAAGCACGCGGCCATTTTTAAATGCCAGATTCTCGCTGCTGATTGGTTGATTGATAACATGGTTTTCCCGCGTCAGAAATTGTCGGGGTGGTGACAAGACGGATTCTATCCCCCGAAATGTGGCTAGCGTTCATCGTGTAATTAGATCGAGTATTTCCTATCTTTCTTCCTCCACCGCCCGAGATGAAATCTCAGACGAAAAATATTCTTAATTTATCGTTCTAATTTTAACTCTTTAACTCATTCCAAGTAGAACATTAAATTACCTGAACGTCATAATCTGGGAAGAGCAAAAAACTACCAAAGCAGAAAGAAGGGCAGCTAGACAGTATGGGTACTGCTGCATCTAGCGTAGAAAAACAACGCACAAAATCCATAAGTGAAGAGGAACTGAAAGATCCCAAGACCGTTATGTTAGCAAGTGCTCGCGATGGAAACATCGAAGAACTGACTCTCGTAATACAGCAAGGAATGGATCCGAATGAAAGAGAGTCGCCATTTTCAGGGTAAAAACAAATCTTTCTGGTAGCTTGCCAGAATCTTTTCTTCTTTGCCGAGAAGGATCAGGGGTAAACGAAGAACAGCATTTGTCGGCTGTTCTATCACACACCCTTTGCGACTGGGTAGCTTTATTCCAGTCTTTAATTTGTCGACAATTTTTCGCATTAACTCCATGAAACACTCAGAAAATGAACACCTATTTGGTACCCAGTACAAAACACTCAAATGAATTTGAGAGGTCTGGAAAGTCCTCCCAATGGCCTAAATTTTATAAGCGTTTGAGTTCTTTGAAATTTAACCTACGGTGATGCGGTTTGTGAAACAAGCGCGCGCGTTTTCTGTGTGGCTAAGAAAATCCCTTCTATAGCAATGACATTTTAATATAAAGAAGACTTGACAACTTTAGATCCTTAATTTCCAAGTCCCGGAGGGGAATTCCCAGAAAAATTAGGGTGGGGAGTGTTCTACCCGCTTCCCATAACCCTTCCCTATTTAAGATCAAAATCCCCTATTTATGGCCTGAACAAAAATTCACTAACCTATTTAAGACCTAACCCTTTAATAAATACCCTGTTTCAGACCTGTTTTGTAATTAGTCCCCTTGTTCAGACCGATGCTTTAGGCATCATGCAGGGCTTTTGTTGATGGTCTTATCGATAACGATCAAAGAGTGGCTTAATCTATATAAAAAAATACATACCTAATTCAAGATTAGAGTGCAAACACCATACCCTATGCGAGACGAAAATGACCAAAATCAATACCCTATTTCTGACCAAAACGGGCGAAAAAACCACACCATTTGGGGCCGCACATACTTATGTAGCCCATTTAAGGGAAAACCCTATCCCACCGCCCTGGGTTCCAAGTAAATACATTCGTGTTGGTTTTTAATTTTTTTCGGTCCTTATTTCAATTGTCACTCTTCGATAGCTTACGGGCGCTTCACTTTGCCGCTCGGCACGGTCATCTGGAATGCATGGAAACGCTTCTAGAACTCGGCGCAGACGTGACCGCTGAGGACTTCTACGGCTGGCAAGCAATCCACGAGGCTGCTTTAAACGGTCACGCGGAATGCCTTGCGCTATTGCTGGAATACGGCTCCAAAGTGGACGCTGCCGCGTGCAACAACAACGGTCCCAACACGCCGCTGCATTACGCCGCCAGGCACGGTCACGTGCGCTGCGTGGAACTGCTGCTTATGCATGGCGCTGATTGGAAGAGCTCCAACAAGTATGGGGAGAATCCGCTGCACTGCACAGCAATGCGGGGTCACGTGGATTGTATGCTTGCTCTTGTCCATGCAGGTACAGACTGTTTACACAACATACATTTATCAGGGGTGGACCATTTCACTTTTGAGGGGTGAGTGTGTGATTTGGTACAGGCACTACCTTACATGCATTAGGATTTTTTTTTTTTCTCGGGACGTGTGAATAGATGATATTTTTTGTTCGTATAACATGTGTTTTCTTCGGCTCACTGAACGTGCGTGAATTTTTTCCAGTATTGGTCGTCTGCATGAATTTAATTTTTTAGCACAAGGATGCTTACAGGAAATTTTCTACAAAATCAGCCACCCCTCCCCCCCCCCCCCCCCCCCCCCNCCACCCCTCCCCCACCCCTCCTTCCCCCTCAAAGTCTAATGGTCCACCTCTTAATCTCTGTCAGCCAATTATTTGCGGTAAAAGCCCTCATATGGCGTCATGGAGACTTCTCATCACTGTATTCAAAAGTCTTTCTCGGTGGGCCTATTTCAGTTCTGGAGGTTTCATTAGAGGGCCTTTTATCGAAAGGAACTTTAGCCTATATGTTTGTAAGTGTTGTTGTAAATGAAAACTTTACATTGAAAAAGGTGCATACAAGTGTAACACTCGAACAGCCTCGTTCGATGGGTTTTTCTCTTAGAGAATGAACGAGGTCGAGACTCGACTGGTTATGAAAATGTAAATTATCCTTGCTCGCACCATCAGTCCGTTAAAAACGCATGCTAGTCAGTGTTTATATCGAGTTTTATTTTTGAATAGTAATTCAAATGTTGCAATCTGATTGACTGAGCTATCTCAGGCCCCGGCCAAGCGTCAAACTCGTTGAGACGAACTAAACTAAGCGAATTAAGTTCGTGATAAGTTAAACGTTTGTCTTAACTAAGTTCGTCCGCGGACTGAATGGAGATCGACCAACACACCCATCTGCTTCAGATAGATCAGAGATGCTTCAGGTTATAACTCACTCGGCCTTCGGCATGATCAATTATCACCTCATAGAATTCTCCAGCTCAAACTCTAATAAGTTAATCGATCGGTGATAAAGTTTAATGTGCTCTTCGGTTTCCTAGGGGCTGATATAAACACAGAAACTCGAGACGGCTTGACCCCCGCATACTTTTGTGCAGTGTGTGGTCACTCAACATACCTTAAAGAACTCATGAAACAAGGAATAGATATCAATAGAAGATACAAGGAACCCAAGCGCACCTTATTACACTACGCTGCAGAAGCTGGGCAAATAAGAGTCCTCAGGGCACTTTTGAGAAAGGGCGCAGACATGGAGATTCACGCCGGCCCACGATCTTTTACTCCCTTACATTTAGCAGCGAGACAGGGCTGTGAAAAAGGAGCGGAATTGTTGCTAAGATACGGTGCTAACGTGGACGCGCTATCGCTAAAAGGGTGCACTCCTCTTCATCACGCGGCGCGCTGTGGAAAAGTAGAAATTGGCAGAATACTCGTGGCTAACGGCGCAAACGTTAACGCCATATCAGGTTAGTTGTTTTGTTAAAAAGCAATGATTTTAAGAATTTGTTATACAAACACGAGTTGTTTACTGGATTGTGTAAATAGTGTCCCCAATTAGTTTTTTTTAAGCTAAATACTCTTAACACTTTAATGAAGTCTTTTATTCATTCATTCATTCATTCAAATACACCACTGGTAAAATTCATACGAAGCTCATCTAGCACCTGAGTGGCGGCCTCAGATATTCCCCAATTTTCAAAACTGCGCGTGTTGCGAAAAATATTTGAAGGATAAGAAACACAATAGCCTGCATTTGGCGCGAAAATATGCTCGGATATTTGTTCCACTACGCTCACAGTTTTCCTCGAGGTGCACTCTCGGAAAACCGTTAACTCCAACTTGACCGCTAAAACACCTTGTACATGATTGGGCACAATTTATGTACTTCATATTTTCATATTATTCTAGACCCTCTGAATCCAAAAGTGACCCTAAAATAAACTGAGGAATGGTCCTTCATCTTCTCTTAACAATAGAAAGTCGTAGACAGTTTACGGCTGCATAACTTAGCCAAAGCACGTGAGCGCAAAGAAAAGATTATGCACGGACCAAGAACCTTCCAACAAAATCCTTGGCACTTTTGTTTACTTCCGACATGAAAATCGATTCTTCCCACACGCAGGGAGATTATTGAACAAAAACGTCATAAGTTCATGTACGACAATGGCCTAAACAACACTATTAAACGCAAGATGCAAAGATTCACCCCATACACGCAACCGGGTTTCCGCCCCTCTCGAAACGCGAAGAAAACTGGGGCGAGTCTCATCTCGCAGTTGCTTGTCGGACGGTTTCTTGGATCACCCCAGATTTCTTTTCCTAATGAAAATGGCAAATTGCGTGAAAACTTGTTTATCTTGTTTTCAGAGGACACCCACGAGACCCCGTTACACATGTGTGTACAGCGGCACGACAGCAAGTTCACAAAACTACTTGTGAAAGCCAATGCTGATCTCTACATCCGGGACAACAGCGGGGACCGACCAATTGACATCAAGCAAGAAAACGAGGATGTAACTAACACGCTCAAGGCCGCCATGTTTGAGAAAGACAGGGTCGAGAAGGCTAAAACAAGCTCAAGTTAATTCCTCTTTTTATTAAACCAAGGGGCAACGTTACGCTACTCAACAGTTTTTGTAAAAATCAGTCTCCTTTAAAATATATAAAAATACTATGAATCCATCCCACCCAAAATTGAAAATACCTCGCGAATAAAATGACTTTCAATATAACATTAATTATACTTATTTGGATAATAAATTATTGATTTACAAATAGCTAATACTTGACTCCTTTCTACGGCCCTCAACTCAACGTTCACTATCTGTAACCTGGACAACATCTTCCTAGTTAAAACAAATTATACAAATGGGAAGGGGGAGGGGGATCTTAAAAATTGTTAAGAAGATTGCTTGCGAGTGCAATTTCTTCGGAGGTGTGGGAAGCTATTTTCAGGAAGGGCAGAAAAGTTCCTTCTCGGAAGTCTAAAGTATCGGAGCTAAGGGAAAGTATTTTCGAGAAGGGCAGAAAAGCTACTTCTCGGAGGTCAAACGTATAGCTAATACTACCTGTCACGCTATTATGTTAGCGATTCTTCAGTAGCTGCTCTGATTACTAATAAGTTTTTGAACAAACGAACTTTATGTCCGAGTATTACGAACCACGCTTCCGTACAACTGACCTAAGCTTTATCCTGTTGGCCAGCCAGAAATCACTTTTTGGAATTTCCGTCAACATTTTCAACGTTTCGATCGATTTACTGAAACAAAATCACCTTAAATAGCGTCACCTATTGAAAAAAAAATACGAACCTACGAAGAAAAACCAAACTGACAGCTACATTAAAATAATGTCTTGACATTACATTACACAATGGCAGGTACCAATGTGATGAACGGCGTGAATGAATTATTTCGATAAAATAAAAAAATGGCTAAAACGCTAACAAGTTGTTTCGGTATTGTACTATTGACATCAACATCATATAATCTATATTGCCTTCACTGTTTGAAAACCAAAATGCAGGAAGTTCCGTCGATCTCGCATAAATCGAATTTGCCGCGAACACGGGTTACAAAGTTCTCACAAAATTTGCAAATTTCCTTCGTAAATCTTTCATTTATAATAATATAATAATTTCCCTCGAACTCCCAATATTTTCATTATTTCCCTGGATTTCACTAATGCAAGCACCAATCCACCGTAGGAAAAAAGATGGCGGCTGTACATTTTACCACAATACCTTGCGAACCTAACACAGCCTATATGGCACGAAGAAAGCCAAATTTTTACAATATTTGTTCCTGTGCTGAGGACATTGTGRAGCCTAGGTTTGAAGATTTTATAACTTTTCTGCACGTTTTTATGAGCGTTGTTAAGGTTTTCTTGCGCTAAGAACTATGGGTAAATGTACCAGTCGCCATCTTTTTTCCTACGGAGGATTGGATGCCTGTGACATCTTTAACTCACCGCTGAGATTTTCTTTAGTCAAAATGGCTTTCACATGAAAACATCAGCGTTTAGTTAACGACAAAGCGAGCCAGCAAGATCTAACAACATTTGTTTGCTTCACTTTGTCATATCTACTTCAATAAACTTGCAAAGAGTTTTCCAACCAATCACGGAATCGTCCCGACCAATCAGGTCATCAACCTCGCGCGACCTTTCCCGCCCTTCAGAGCGGCTTCACATGTCTGCTTTAAACTCTGATTGGTTGAACAGTTCCGTGACTGGTCGGTTTGATGTCTTTGGTGTTAGTCACGAAAGTATCTCCCTGAGTAACGCAATGTTAAGCCAAACGCTTAATTGAAAAAAGAAATTCTCCGACTTACAAATCTCTACTATAACCTGTAACTAAATCCATTTTCTTCTTTTCTTCTTCGCTCTGTATTAGCTACTGTATAGGAGTGGCTCTTGCTCGCTTAGCCGTTGTTCTTGTTCCGAGCACGGCGTTTCTCCATTTGTTGAACGAGCCTCTCCAGACTCCAAATACGCCAAGCGAGTTCGTTTTCTGTAGAAACAACGAAGCAAAGGGCAAAAAAACAGGTTAAGAAAACTGCCAAATATACGAAGCAAAATTCGATAAACTCTTCGCAAAAGAAGATGTTGCACAGTTAAGCCAGTGTTCTGTTCTAAATAAAATGGTCGGGGGAGGGGCACGGGATGAAATGAACACGACAAGGGGACCTCTGAAGGGTAGCAGAAATTTCTCCCTCACAAGTCTGCGAGCACAGAGAGAGGTGAACAAGTTGTAAGCCACCTGTCTCCGCCCGTTACAATTTTGCGACGAGTCTCGTCTGTACCACTCACCTTTCTCGTATACAGTTGTTCGTTATTTCAAACCAGACTTGTCTGCCGAGGAGCTGTAAAAGACAAAACAATGAAATCAGTAACAGCAGTTTCGTTGCAAACTGAACAAAGCTGTCGTCCAAGCCGTGTGTTCTGTTCGGGATGACGCGTGGTTTATGGTCCTCGTTAAGGCGTGTACTTCGCGCGTTATAGCGCCTCTTTCGCACGCATTACAGCTTGGATGTGATAGCCTGGAGACCAAAACTGTATGTTCTTGATATTTTGTAGTGTGTAAGTCGTACCGGTTCTGGCTTATGCTTTGACAGCAACATTCTCTCATCTTTTAACACGAATGGCGACCAGACGTTTCGTCGTTTCCTCGAAATTTCGCTTCATGTGTTACTTTTTCTCGAATGTAGTTTAAGAATTGACCCTTTAAAAGCTTATTATGTGAGGTAACTTTAAGTCTAACGTATGTTAACGGCTTTTTGAAGCGATTTGTACTGGTGGACGGTCGAAAATGACATAACATAATTTCGCAAGCTCGAGGAGTTAAAGCCAGATAAAGAAAAACAAAGCAATCGCCTTCTACTCTACTTACAATAGCTGCTAAAACATCAGCTCCAATCAGCATGAAAAATACGTTGTCCCAACCCTGGAAACAAAACAAGTACAAGACCACGTTGTTTAAGTTTAATGCCCAACAGTGCTTGTCCTCTAACATAAATAAAAAACCCCTGCCGACATCAAACTCTCAATTCTCCCTTCTAGGTACTATAACTGTCCCATGCTACATTATTAGCTCTGAGAAATGGTTGTTACGTCGAGATAGTACCATCATTTTGTTAATTCTCATGCCTGACTGCTTAATAATGTGTTGTTTTTGTAAGGAGAAATTAATTGCCAATCAAGCTCAAGTTAGCAGTTCTACAGGTCGATGTTTTGGGCACACAGGCCTTTTCTGACATACCTTAACTTTATTGGTTGTATTTTGTACACTGCAGAGAGAACACTAGAGTGTATTTTTCACACAAATTCTCCCAACTGAAGCCGTTAGCAGTATACAGAGCCCAGTTAGGAGAACTTCTGCAATAATCAGTTTACATACCGTAGGCGAGATAATACCCGTCAAAAGCGGTCCAAGAGCAGCACCTACAAAGTAGCAGAGGAAAAGAAAGTTGTTTGAACGAAACTCTAGACTCGTTTCTCCCCAGAAGTAAGAGGACCCCCAACCAACTGGAAATTTCAACGACTTGTCTCTGGGTTCCATCGTCAACCAATTTATGAAAACAAATTTTGATGGTTCAGAGATAGGCCATTCTAAGCAGAACTGTTCTAGAAGTCAAAAGCCAGTGCAACACCAATCAAAACGAGAAATTATTTCTCAAATTTTAAGTGTTAAACTTTGAAACTTGCTTAGGTCTTCGTTTGCTGAGCTCTGTAAATGGTCGAACAAATTCGTGTAGCCTACTTTAGCCAATCAATGCTAAGACGTATTGTTTTCAGCCAATCAGATACAAGACGACACCGATGGCGATTTTGTTCTCTGAATTTTTCCCGCGCTTTACACTGCTCACGTGTTCTGACGTCCGGCTCTGATTGGTTAACTCTCTGAGACCAGTGAGAACTTTGGCTTCACTTTTAATACAGCGAACGAAGAAAACACCTAAACATGATAACTCTGTAACATGTAATTCCTCACCCATAGATCCAGTTCCATCGATGATAGCTGTGACTGTGGCCATGGCTTTCGTATTTCCTTGAAGACATGGATGTGTTCCCTGCAGATATAACACATGATATCTTAGCACATTAACAAAGCGCTTTTAAGTTCTTAAAACTGAAATTGTATGAAGGACTTACCAGGTTAGCTGACACTGCTGTTGTGATTAAAGCGTAAGGGCCATTTACCAGAACTCCAGTCAACATCATCAAAACTGCGACCAGAAATAGATTGTCAGTCAGCAGGGAAATTGAGAAGACAACACTGTCTACTGGGGGTCCTTGCCTGCATTAGGTTTCTTGGCTGGGTTTATAAAGAGTTTTAACAGCCAATCCCCCATTCTCACACAAGCGTGAAACGTGTCAAAACATTTGTTACCTATGAGTGTATATAAATATTTGACGCAGGGGTTAAGGCCCAGACATAAATAAGGAGTTACCTACAGCATTTAACGAACATCTTCAAGACTGCCTCCATCAAAAGCTGCTCTGAAGTGTATAGCAACACTAAGGGCCAAAGTACAATGAACACAAATAAATACTTACAAATATTCATATGGAGGTTGGCATTGGCAAAGAATCTATAAATAAAGAGCTGAAAGGAAATCAAAGCATTTAGTATTCAAATAACATCTAGAAGTGGAAAGTTACCTAATCTCTCATTAGCCAGAAAAACTTTCATATGTTTTGTGAACAACTAATTACATGTCATGATACATTTTCTTATAGATCAATTGCCAATGCATGTAGTTTCCATGTTTCCGACAAAGGATTTCTTCAATGAGTGTTTCACAAGAGGAGTAGGGGTAAAAACTGGGTTCATAAAGTCCACAGGTAAATTCTATAACAAATTGGGAGTGTACTTCATGGATGAAGCCGATAAAAATCTTGTGAGATGCTCTCAAATTCTTTAGTTCTAACATGAAGTCTTCAGTATCGTTGCCATGGTTATGCCTGGCATAGGTCTTATCATTACATGTGAAACTGGTCCGAGATGAAAAGGACAATTCTGGTTGATACCAAGAGTGGTCCAAAGTTTGCAATATGACCTGGTATGATGGATTGCTCGGAATAGGTTTCTGCAAATTGCCTGTTCAAACCAGTGTATCAAAGAAATAGTTTGTTTTGTTGTTTAGTAGAAATCATTTTCCGTCATGTCTGGCAGACAATTCAAATAAACTTGAAAAAAAGTAATCCAAAATACAAAAACACATGCATCATGGAGGACAATAGATACGTAAGATCTATCAACAGAGTTTTAAAAAAGTCATACATTATAATACATTCTTTATTTAATTGAACCAGCTTGTTCAGTCTGTATTGGGGAATACTGGACTCACTGTTTTCTTGGACACTCTATGGACCTCCCCTGTCACCCAGACCATAAACCTGCTGACAGAAACCCCCGAACAATATTTCCCCCATAAGGACCTTGTGCTAGTTCAACAAAATCTATTAAATGAACCAAAAACTCACCATTGGTCCTGCACCAAACAACATGAGTACAACAGTAATGCCACTGCAATTCGTTTTGTCAGAAATATATCCTGCAAGAATCCCTCCTACAAACCAATAAAGAAAAGAACACACGCAGCTTTTAATCCTTGATATTCCGACAAATTCTCCCAACCACAGCTGTAGTAACTACTATACAAAAGGGTAGAAAAACTGAGGAGAATATGCATGTTGAAAATGGGTTTTCATAGAATGACTCTGACAGAGAGGCTGGTAACAAATTAAATCCAACCAAAGGGGCACAGTTGAAGGATAGGACACCTTAAAAAACGAGCTTGGACTGTTACCTTGCTGAAAACAACTTCTGTTGAAGTGTTACCATAACAATTTAAGTTACCATATATAATATGTGTAAATGCCCTTTACAGTGTAAATAAAGACCTGAATTGAGTTGAATTAATTGAAAGTGATCTTCAGACAAGACAGACAGACACAGGCAGGCAGGAAGTGAGAGACAGACAGACCGACACACAGACACACAGAAGAGATGCCAACCAGAAAGCATTTCATTGGCTGCAGTGGAATATCTTGGCTTCCATTTTTCGAGTTCTTTAACCAACAAGCACAAAAAATACAATTTTAATAGTCCAACTAACAGTCAGGTAGATGCCACATACCTATTATTCCTCCTGCATCAAACAGAGTGGACAAATCTGCTGATGTTGTAGCACCATACTTGACACCACCAATACCTGGGAAAGAAAAAAATATCAACTATTAAGTGATTCAGAAAAAAGTTCATGACTGCTCAATGATAGTCCACCCACACACCCTCTACTTTGTCTGGACTCCGTTGAGATGATGAGCAAAAGATTAACCACAGGGGATATTAAGGAGTCACAACACAGGGGGTGGGGGCTGAGTCACTCTTGCACTCTCCTCTCACTATGACAAACAAAGAAAAATAACTCACAGGAAAAAAAGACAGATGGGCAAACAGGGGGACAGACTACAGTAACTGATTGACAGATGGAGGAGTGGAATATGTTAACTTATTAACTGGTAGCAAACTTATTACATAACATTGCTAATTAATATGGAGTTACTTACTTGTATTTTCAATATAATATGGGAGCCAGAAAAGGAAAGTGTAGCTAACCAGTTTAGCGAAGAACAAGCACAATGAATACTCAATCACCCCCTGAAGCAAAAAAATGGTACACTTTAATATTCATTTCCTTTGCATGACGGACAATGTTTTGCACATAAAAATAATATAATTGAAGAGCTAAAGACAATCCCTAATCCAGTGTGCTTTCATAATTATTATGAATACAATTACTGTGATTCACAAGGAAGGTTATTAAATATAAAGCAAATATGTTGCGCTAGTTAATTAAGATGTTATCCTTTCTTAACCACTGACTTTCCAACAAGAATCACCATTGAGGAAAGACCCCCCACACCCCCTTCCCCTCCCCCAACATTCCTTCTTCAAATGTCATCTCCAGGAAGATACTATCAATCAGATGTAACCAATCAATTTACAACATCACTGATGTCAATGAAATTAATGAGTAGTTTCTCTAAAACTGCCACTTCCCTCTGTCCCCAAGGTGGCTGTTGATCTTGTGCAGAGCTTTGACTGTAGTATCACTCAAAAAGATCTTGATTTACACGGAACCATGATAAGCAACACATACACGTACATGTTCCACCCCAAAACCTCAACCCTGAGAAAGCTGAATTCACTGAGTCAAACTTCTTAAATAACCAAAGGAAGCTTATTGTTTGCACCTCATCATAACACGAGCACCTTAGAAAGGGGATTAGTGGCCTTGGAGATAACCCTCAGCATCCCTCCCAACTCTCTCTGCAAAAGACAAAACACCACTAATCCGACTCACTGGTATAAGAACCGCTCTCCAGAAACTGACAGCGTTAACTTCTACTGAGTCATCTGATGGAAGTACTGACGATGAAGATGAAGCTGATGATGATGACGATGACTCATGTGACTC